AAAATAGATCCCATTAATTTTCTCCCTTGCCAGCTTATATAAGTTTTGACACTAAAAGCCACTGTGTAGACGGGAAGAGAAAGGGTTTTTCTTCCTGGTTTTATCATACTTTCTCTCCTTTTGCCCTTATGGCTGTGGCTACCAACTGCAGGCCTGCATGACTTCCTGTGGTATTTACCCTCCAGCAGGTTTTGGTTGCCTGTCCCATGCCTTCCAGCATCTAGCTCCCGCACTCTGGAATGAAAACTCTTCCTGCCTGCCAGTCACAGCGTGAGATCCATCCTCACCAGTTTCAACCTGCTGGTTTTCAAACTGCTCTGTCCTAGGACCACCCACAGTTGTTGAATTCTCATTTTAAACACCTTCAAAGACTAGAAAAAATTAATTCATCTGAATATGTGGGTGGAAATATTTATTTTATTCAGGACTTAGAAATAATAGTTCTTGATAATATTAATGATTTATAATTTATACATGATGTATTTTAACGAATAGCAGGTGTTTTAGAAATAAGATAGCTGGGCGCGGTCGCTCATGCCTGTAATTCCAGCCCTTTGGCAGGCTGAGGTGGACAGATTGCTTGTGGTCAGGAGTTTGAGACCAGCCTAGCCAACATGGCGAAACTCCAACTCTATGAAAAAGCCAGGCATAGTGGCGCGTGCCTGTAGTCCCAGTTACTCAGAAGGTGGAGGCCGAAGAATTGCTTGAGTCTGGGAGGCTGAGGTTGCAGTAAGCTGAGATTGTGCCACTGCACTCCAGCTGGGGTGACAGAGTGAGCCCCTGTCTCAAAAAAAGAAAGAATATGTATCTGGGTATGAATTTTTAAAATAATGTAAAGATGTAAAAATAATTCTGAGAACATAATTGTATGACTTTTGAAGAAACTAGAAGTATGTTCTTTACTGATGGTGGAAGTTACGTTATATCAAACCTATGTAAGCTATAATACACAAGTGTTCATAAGCTGGTGTTTACAAGGGTATTTTAATTTCCAAACAAAATTCACATATTGTTCACATATTGCTCTTTTCTTTCTAATATTATTCCTTCTAGGTATAAAATATAGAAGTTGTCAAAAAGATTAGTGTTTGCAATAGAAAACTGAGCCATTTGGCCACACTTGCAAATGATTATTGTTTTGCGGGAGACTGCAATCCGTAAAAAATTAATAGCAGAGTTGGAGAATTTGTATGAGAAAACACATTTTGTGAGATGCAAAATCAAAGCTATTATGCTAATTTAAATTTTGTAATAGCAAAGCTAATTCTTGTTACTTTTCGGTCTCAATTCACTAAGATAATGAGTGTTACACACTGAACACATAAAAATGTATTGCCACATCTGAATGAGGAGGACAAATTAACAAAACAATACAAGGCTCTGGAAATGGATCAAAGGCTAATAATCATTTGTGAAATTTTTTTTTCTGGAAAAACTGCTAGGGATTCAGGAAAGAATGCAGCAGATTTGTAGTAAGTTTACCTAGCACTACTCCCATGCCTCCCTGCCCACCTACCACACCCCAGCATCGTGAAAAACAACTGTAGTTTTACAGCTTGGGGAAGGCAGGGAAAATCAACAGTCCTTTTGCCACAAGAACGGACTTAATTAGCTGCCAGAGGTTGGGGACATAGGGTAATAGACCAGTGCTTTTCAATTCAAAGTGCTGAATTTTTGTAGGAAATGAATGAGAAAAATCCCATTTTTTTTTTTTAAAGTCTGAGGTGCAGTCTCCTTTGGGGCAAGAACAATGCCAGCCATAAGTACAGTAGCAAGAGCTTGGGTGACAGAGCTCTAAAATGAGAGTGCAATAGGCTTCATAATATTGGCTCACTTCATATTTTTTGAAAATGTTTTAATCGACACATTGCAATTGCTCATACTTACGGGGTACAATTTGATGTTCAATACATACATATATTGCATTGAAAAATCAAATCAGGTTATTTACTGTATTCATCCATTTCATGTATTTATCATTTCTTTGTGGAGAACATTCAAAATCTTCTGTTTCAGCTATTTTGTAATGTGCAATATCTTTTTGTTTGTTTTTTGTTTTTTAAGACAGGGTTTCACCACGTTGGTCAGGCTGATCTTGAACTCCCGACCTCAGGTGATTCGCCTGCCTTGGCCTCCAAAGTGCTTGGATTACAGGTGTGAGACACCACGCCCGGCCATGTGCAATATCTTACTGTTAACCATTATCATCCTACTATGGAATAGAACAGAAGAACTTACTCCTTTTTCCTAACTATAACTTTATAGCCTGACCAAGCTCCCGCCCTGTACCCCTCTTTTTCTCTCCTCCAGTCTCTGTTGATCACTGTTATGGTGTTTTTCTGGTGATCAATCTGCTTCTATAATATCAACTCTTTTTTGCTTTAATTCTACATATGAGTGAGATTATGTGGTGTTTGTCTTTCTGAATCTGGCTTTTTTTACTTAACATGATGCCCAGCAAGTTCATCCATATTGCCATAAATAACGAGATTTTATTCTTGATTATTGAAAAAAATATGCATATGTGTAGAGGAGATCAGAGTGATTCCAGTAAAAAGTAAAAGCCCAAAGGGACTTGAGAACTGATTGTAAAGTTCTGAACACTTCCTCCGCCACACACACACACACACACACACACACACACACGCGCACACACACACACATACAGACACATACACACACACAGACACATACACACATGCACACACACACATACACACGCACACACACACACACACACACACACACACACACACACACCCTGCTAGCACAGAGTCAAACCCCTACTAACTTAAGGTGTTTCAACAAATCTTTTAAAATAATATATTGGCTGACAACCAAGCTATGCAATTCACAAGGACAATCCCTAGTACGTGGGGCTAAAAAATGACAGTGAAAAATAAGCATTTGAAACAAAAACATTTTAAGTGTCCACTGGCCAACTTTGGCTAGTGCCAGTGTATTGATAACAAACTTCTAAATTTTATATTAAAATGACTAGGCTTATGCAAATATAGTGTAGCTTTGGGAGATCTTCATGTAAACTTAAAAATATGAGTATTCTGAATTAGGGATTAAATATATGCCTTAAATGCATATATTGCAACAAAAATTGCAGATAAGAAATGGTCTGAACATGTATCAAAAAATAAAAACAGAAAGATGAAATTAACTGAAATTAAATAGAAGTAAAGAAAACAATAAATAGTAAAAAAAACCATGACAAAGAGCAAAATTACAGTAGAGAGGGTCAATAAGGCTGAAGGTATTTTCACTGAAAGGACTTAATAAAATTGATAAAAGACTATTAAAGAATTTGAGAAGGCACAAATATTTTTCTAGATTAAATAAGGGAAAACCATTATGGTTTTTACAGGTATTAAACAGATAATGAAACCATTATGAATACTTTTATATCCATATGAGATAGAAAATTCATGAAAATACAAATTATCAAAATGCAATACAACACACAGAAATCTGAGTAACCTCTATAGGTGCTAAAGAAATTGACTTTCCTACATAAACTTTTCTACAAAAATATTCTACAAACTCAGGTGGTATCACTAGTGAATAATTACATTTTAAAATAAAACAGTGCCCTTACACAAAGTCTTCTAGGTTACAGAAAAGAGGAATGCTTCCCAATACATCCTTAAGAGCAAAGCTTCTCATGTACATAGGTATAAATAAAAACACAGTCAAATCTCCTATGCACTAATAAATTTGAACAGGCAATGCAGAATGGCCAGTATGGTTTTATTTCAGACTGGTTGAACATTTGAGAGAAGTGAAATAGTTTACTTTATAAACATTATGCAGAGAAAACATGTATCATTCCAATGGATGCAAAAAATAATAAAAGTGTTACAATCAATAATAAAAAATATGATAAAACTGCTTCAATGTAAGGATATAATAAAAATGAACAAACTTTATAAATATGGATGAAATGTTGCAAACTTTTTACCTAAAATAGGAAATGATACATATGATATACATATAACCTTTCTGTGCCTTCTAATCAACATTCAAACTAAAACCTTAGCTAGTCCAGATTCAGTGCAATCTCTATCAAAACGCCAGTGACATTCTTTACAGAAATAGTGAAACCAACTCTCAAATTTATATGAAACCACAACACATCCAGCATAGCCAAAGCAATTCTGAGCTTAATATCAAAGCTGGAGGCATCACATTACCTGAATATACTGCAAAGCTGTAGCAATCAAAACCACATGGCGCTGGCATTAAAACAGACATATAGACCAACGAATCCAGAAATAAATCTGTGTATTTAACAGGCAACTCAGTTTTAACAAAGGTACCAGAAACATACACTGGTAAAAAAGATAGTGTCTTCAAAAAATAATGCTGGGAAAAACTGCATATTGATATGCAGAAGAATGAATTTAGACTCCTATCTCTCACCATATGCAAAACCAAACTAAAACGGATTGAAGACTTACATGTAAGATCTGAAACTATAACACTATTAGAAAAAAAGATCGGAGAAATGTTTTAGATATTGGTCTGGGCAGAAAATTCTTGAGTGAGACCTCAAAGGCACAGGCAACAAAATCAAAAATGGACAAATAGGATTACATCAAGCTAAAATGCTTTGGTACAGCAAAGGAAACAATCAGCAGAGTGAAAAGATAAACTACAGAATGAGAGAAAATATTTTTACGCTATTCTACTGACAAGGGATTAATAACCAGAATGTATAATGAACTCAAACAACTTAGTAGCAAGAAATCAAATAATTAGATCAAAAAATGGGCAAAAGATCCGAATACACATTTTTCAAAGGAAGATATACAAATGGTCGATAGGTAGATGAAAAAATGCACAACATCCCTAATCATCAGAGAAATGCAAATCGAAACTGCAATGAAATATCATCTCATCCCAGTTAAAATGGCTACTATAAAAAAGACAATAATGGATGCTGATGAGGGTGTGAAGAAAAGGGAACCCTCGTACACTTTTGGTGGGAAAGTAAATTAGCACAGTCATTATGGAAAACAATATGGAGATTCCTCAAAACACGAAAAATAGAACTTCCATGTGATCAGCAATCCTACTGCTGGGTATATATTTAAAAGAAATGAAATCGGGATATCAAAGCTAAATCTGCACTACCATGTTTATTGCAGTACTGCCACTTAAGAAAATGTGGTTCAGATAGATCACATATATGTGGAATAATAATGGACTATTATTCAGTCATAAAAACATAAAGTCCTTGTCATTTACAACAATATGGTTGGAACTGGAGGACATCATGTTAAGTGAAATGAGCCAGGCACAAAAAGGTAAATATCACTTGTTCTCACTCATATGTGGGAACTAATAAAATCGATCTCATGGATGTAGAGAGTAGAATAATAGTTAATAGCGCTGGGAAGTATAGTGTGGGCTTATGAAGAAATGTTGGTTAATGATTACGCAAGTACAACTAGACAAAAGGAATAAGATCTAGTGTTTGGTAGCATAATAAGGCAACTATATTTAATTTTAATTTATTGTATTTTTCAAAATAACTAGAGGAGTAGATTTCAGATGTTTCCAACACAAAGCAATGATAAATTTTTGAAGTGATGCATATCCAAATTACTTGATTTGATCATTACACATTGTATACTTGTATCATTATATCATGTATACTTGTAAATACATACGCTATTATGTATCCATAATTTTTTCAGTTATCAAAAAGAAAAGAAATAAAGAGAAAATGTGGCAATTAAAAAGAAAAAATAAAACTGTGATTATTTATAGACACAATACCTGTTTATACAGGAAACCCAATAAATTATACCTAAAATGATACATTTAATACAAAAAAAATTCAGTGAAGTAACTGGATATAAGAATCAGCTTGCAAATTTCAATTGTATTTCTATTTATAGCAAGAATTACTAAAGAAATTTTTAAAATAAGTATGCCATTTGCAAAACCGTGAATCTGAAATACCTATGTTTGTTTGCTAGCTATATGTGTATTTTTATTAATTATATTTTATTGTATTTTTATAATTATAATTCTAAATGATCTGATATGATATATGCTTATATGCATTTTGTGTGTTTTTATTAGAAATAAATTTATTTAGATTTACATATTCATTACATTTTGCAGATTTGGTGTCTGATGAGGGCTGCTTTCTGCTTCCAAGGTGGCACTGTGTTGCTACATCCTCATGTGGCAGAAGGGAAAACGGAGTGAATGCTAGTTCCTAGCAGCTTTTTTGTGAGGCACTAATCAACCCATGAGGGCAAAGCTCTGCTGACTTAATTATTTCCCCAAAGGCCCTACCTCTTAAAATAACAAAATAGGGATGTGTTAATATAAATTTTGAGAAGACACAAATATTTAAACCATAGGAAAGGAAGTTTGATCTTTCCATTGTCTAAGAAGGGGTAAAAGGACTAATTTTTGAAAACAATGTATTGAAGGGCACAGCATGACATTGATTAGAGAAGTCAATGTTATAAAGAAATCTTATATTTAAACACTACTTTAGATATCACATTCAGTCCCAAATATAAATCCAGTTGTTTTTTTTTTTTACAAAATAGCTTTATTAAGGTGTGTCATGCATACAGCATAAATTTCATCCATTTAATGTGCATAAGTCAGTTTTTTTAATTTTTATTTTTATTTTTTGTTTTTAGAACAGTCCTATTGCAATAGTCAGTTATTTTTAGTATATTCAGTTATGACTATCACTACTGAAATTTGGAAAGTTTCCATCATCCCCAAAAGAAACTGTTAACAATTAACAGTCACTTTCTATTCCAATCTTCCCTTAGGCATTGGCAACCACTATTCCATTTTCTATTTCTATGGGATTGCCTTTTATTGATATTTCATATAAACACACTTGTATAATGTGAAACTTTAAGAAAGACTGAATGCCACAAATAAAATGTTGAGTAAAAAGAGCAAGACCTACAGCAATGAAATCTGTACTTGGTGGTATGTATATTACATTCCAACAGTTTTGAAAAATTCTTTATTAGAACAAATTACATAATTTATTTTAAAACTTTTTCAATCAAAATATTATTTCCATTTTGTGAGATTTAAAATTACCTGAACAGACTCCAAATTCAGTTGCTTTAATTCTAAAGTTTATGCTTACAATTATATAGTTGTGACGATCCACACGTGTGTGATTTAAGTCCAGATGAGTGCAGCATTGCACAGTTATGTTTACCGATATCTGATTACGTTATCCTGTAATGGAGAAAAATCCATAATCCCATTAGACTGTATGGGAACATTTCATGAAACAAGAGCATTTTCCACACAGTGTAAGAAAAGAATATTATGAAACAGTTGATATTTTCCATGTATTATTATGAGTTGGTTATTATGAAAATTGAACGAAGCAGTCCTTTTGTCTTGGGAGATGTTCTAATACCCCCAGTGGATGTCTGATATCACAGATAATAATGAACTGTATATATGCTGTGTTTTATCTATACATATATAGCTCTGATAAACTTTCATTTATAAATTAGGCACAGTAAGGGATGAAAACAAACTAATAATAATGAAAAAAGAACAATTATAACAATGGCCGGCAAAAATACTCTTGCATTTTGGGGCTGTTATTAAGCAAACTAAGAGTGACTTAAACATAAGCACTACAGTACTGCGATAGTCGATCTTATAACTGAGACAGCTGAATGACTAATGGACAGGGAACTTAGGCTGTGCAGTTATCCTGGATGAAGCAATGATTCATGTCCCGGGTGAGACGGATCCATACACTATATAAATAATTTAATTACACTACTCAAAACGGTGCAAAATTTAAAACTCATGAATTGTTTCTTCCTAGAATTTTCCTTTTAATATTTTTGGCAGTGGTTGAGCCTGGGTAACTAAAACCACAGAAAGTGTAATTGTGGATCATTTCTTAATATTTATAGCAATATTTCACTAACTTTCAACATCTTTATGGTTATAATTACACTTAAATTTATTCATAATGTTATTCTGAACTTGTCCTTTTATATTCTTCTACTATATAGAATCATTCAAAAAACTTACTTAAATTTGAATGCTGATATTCAAATGTTCAAATTTATTGACACCCATGGATGATCACTGCTGCTACAAGAGACGCCAACCTATTAGAGAACTGACAGGGAGACCAGAAATTTCTAATGGAAAATAAAAAATTTTCATTTAAATCATAATTATAAAAGTTCTAATTAGCTTTTAGGTGCTTTCTTTGAATTCTGAACTTTTATTAAGTTTTTATTAATTTTTAAAAGTGCAAGTAATACATTCTTTCATAAGATGCTTCATTTTCAAAACAAAATAAATACATTAAACAAAATAGTAAACTTGACGCTTTATAGTGTCAAAAACTGTTAGGAATTTTTGTAATTTTGACTTAAAAGGAACATTTTAATTTTTATACTTAGTACATTCATTCTTATTTTGATAAGCAAAACTGTGATTCATGTAATTTGACAGTTGCCCTTGTCGGGTAAGACAGACCTTCAGTCCTTCAGTAAGGACTGAAATAAATTTCCTAATACTGCATGCACATTTATTTCTCCAGATATTCTGATTAAATCAGTGTACTTTTCCACTATGGTTCTCATAGTGGAACTTTTCTGCTTGAAGTTTAGAAGGAAATCGAAAGGTTGAGGAAATAAATGACACAGAGGCCAAAAATTGGCCTTTCTGGGCACCACACCAGTCTTTAGCCCTCACTTATCTGATTCGGTTTTTGGTGGAATAACAATGGTCTTGACCAGGTACATGGAATCGTTTTTCTCTGCCACTCCCTACTAAATACAACTATAAACTCTGGAAGTAATGAAAGACACATGGGAAAACTCCGAAAGGTGGAAAGAGGAAGGCAAAATGGTTTGAGACCCCAGAATCAGGGATCAACAGTGTCCAGGCATCTACAGTCCCCCATCCAGCAGAAGAAAGTGATCTAGGCCTCTGTTGCTCAGAACCCAATCTGGCAACAGGAGGTGGCTCAGCTAAGCCTACTGCTGCTCTGTATTGAAAGGAAATCCTACCAGCAACACTAGGCAAGGTTGGTGCCACTGGCAAGGATGATTTACCAGGAGACCTGCTACCAATTAGGAGTCAGAGGAAGGGCTTCTCCTCCCACAGCAAAAGACACCAGGGAAGGTGTGGCTGAGAGGGGTCAGCAAAGGAACCCCGTGACTACACGTGCACCATCCAGGTTCCCCTTTGTCCCTGAGGACATGAGACTCACTCCCCCATCCAGAGACACAGGCCTGAATGGATTGTAAACGTTCTATGTACGTAATGCTGCAATGAACAGTAACAAACAACAGCTAACGGCATTATTGCACAAATATCGAAGACACAGGTGAAAATACACACTGTATGATTCACTTGATATAAATTCAAAAACAAATGATAAATAAGCTTTGCTTATTTATTAAAAGTCAATACAGTGGTTTGGAGAGGAGGCAGGAAAAATGAGGAAGGCATACATAGGGGCAGGACTGCTGGGACTGGAAACTTCTATTTCATGATCTGCCTTGTATCATGAGTCCATTCACTTTGTGATCAATATGCATGACCATGACAGGCTTAGTCTTCTTTATATAAAAAATAATAAATGGGATTTTAAAGACCCTTGATGCTTAATACAAGACAGGACAGTGAGCCTATAGAAAGATTTAAACTAGGCAAGTAACCATCACTTATATGCACACATTCACACACACACACACACACACACACACACACACACTCACATATATACTCAATTTCAATGTAGTACCGCTAGCCAAGTTTGGCCAGGAGACAGTTGAAATGTAGCTATTTAAATTTAACATTAATTATTAAAAAGTAAATAACATTTAAAACCAATTCCTCACCACATGAGCCACATTTATAGAGAGATGAACATTTCCAGCTTTGTAGGAAATATTCTAGCTATATTTTACCTACAATAGAAGTCAATAAACAAAAATCTGTGAACCTTATGCGGTTTTAAATTCAGTAATAAATGTCTAAATAACATATGGGCCAAATAAATTATCAAGATGAATGGTCACAAAAGACTACTGAAGGAAGATTTTGAAAGGGCACAAATATTTTATTTCTGGTTTAAACATGGTAATACCATTAAGGTCTTTACAGTTATTAAACTGTTAATAAAGCTATATTATCACTGCATTTTGATGTTTATATGAAATAGAAAATTCCTAGGAAATGCTCATTACCAAAATATAGTACCTCAAGTAGAAATCTGAGAAGAAATTCAGTTTAGACAAACATTCCTATAAAAATAGCCTACAAACTCAGATGACATCACTAGTGAATACCATCTAAAAATAAAGCAGTAGTCTTAACAGATGCTTCCAGATTGTAGAAAAAGAGAAAATCTTCTCAAGATAGCCTTGATACCAAAACTTTTCAAGTACATAGCTATAAATAAAAACATGGTCAAATATCCTTGTGAACATGGATAAAGAAACAAATCTTACCCTAGGTATAATAATATATGAACTGATATTTTATAAGGGGCCATATACAATAATCAGCATGGATTTGTTTTAGAAACAAAGACTAGTTTAACACTTGACAAAAATAAAACTAGTTTATTTTATAAAATGTTATATAAAGAAAACATATATCATTCCAACTAATAAAAAATAATAAAAATGTTACAATTGATAAAATCCATTAGAAAAAAAGGAATATTATAAAACTGCTTCAATATAAGAAAGATATGATAAAAAAAAGCTTTATAAATATGAATAATATTTTGAAATTATTTTTGCCAAAACAAAAAAATGATACATATGATACATACAGAATTTGACTGTACCTTCTATTCAACTATGGATATAAAGCCCTACCCTGTGAAAATAAATGAAGCAAAAATAAGTTATTGCACATGAATAGAAAAAATAAAAGTGTGATTATTTGCAGATAAAATTGATGTTTATATAGAAAATCCAGAAAATCCTATATTTGAAATGATAGATTTAAATATGTAAAATAAGTGAAACAACTAGATAAAACATCAAAATGCAGACATCAATTGTATTTCTATTTACAACAACAAAAATTACTAAAAGGAATATTAAAATCAGGATGCCATTTACAAAAGCATGAATGTAAAACATCTGCATTTCTGTATGATTAAATCCCCCAAAATGCATAATATGATAGAAATTAAAGAGAACCCAGCACATTGAACACAGTGCATGGAAGGACACAATATGATATTGATTGGAAAAGTCAAGAAGCTAATCTTAAAAATTACTTTAGAGATTAAATGCAGTCACAAACAGCCCCATGAGAGGTTTTTTTTTTTTTTGACAGCTTTATTGAAGTATTATGCACATAGCATAAATTTCATCCACTTAAAATGTGACTTTTGGTGTATTCACAGAGTTCCAGCCATCACCATGACTGAAATTTAGAAAGTTTACATCACTGACACAAAGAAACATTCTAGCAATTAGTGGTCATCTCCTATTTCAGCTTTCCTTAGGCATTGGCAATCACTATTCTACTTTCTGTCTCCAGAGTTTCCCTTGTATGTAGCAAGAACTTATATGAAGTTCTTGCTGCTTCATATAAACTGACTCATATAATATGCAAGTTTTAGGAAGGCTGAATGCCACAAACATCAAGTTGAGCAAAATAAGCCCAACACAAATGCCAGGAGATCTGTACTTTTGTAACTGTGTGTATTATATTTCAATAACTGATTTAGAATTTTCTTATTATTACAGCAAATAACATGATTCATTTTAAGACAGGCAATTATGTTATTTCTATTTTAACAAATATAAAATTTATCTGTCAGACTGCAAACTCAAATGTTTTAATTCTAAAGCTTATGCTTACAAGGATATTTTATTGAAGATCCACATGGCTTTGATTTAAGTCCATCTATATGTAGCATTGCACAATTATGTTCAGCATTATTTGAGTCTTTAATCCTGTAATGAAGAAAAATGCATAATTCTGTTACATTTTATGCAAATAATCCATGAGACAAGAGCGTTTTCCATGTACTGTAAAAAAATAATTTGATGAGAAAGGATAATTAAATTTTTCAAATACTATTAGTAAAAGTCATTACTCTGAACACGCAATACAGTAGTCCTCCTTCATCCATGGAGGATATGTTTCAAAACCCCAGTGAATGTATGAAATGGCAGATAGCACAGAACCTATAGACAGATTATGTTTACCCATTCATAACCATGATAAAGTTTAATTTGTAAATTAGGCACAATAAGAGATTGACAGCAATAACTACTAATAAAAAAACAAGCATAGCAATATGCCAACAGCACTACTATAGTGCTTTGAGGATTTTCTTTTTCCTTTTTTTTTTTTTTGAGACAGAGTCCCACTGTGTTGCCCAGGTGGGAGTGCAGTAGTGTGATCTCGGCTCACTGCAACCACTGCCTCCCAGGTTCAAGTGATTCTCCTGCCGCAGTCTCCCAAGTAGCTGGGACTACAGGCACACGTCACCATGCCCAGCTAATTTCTGTATTTTTAGTAGAGACGGGGTTTTATTATATTAGCCAGGCTGGTCTCAAATTCCTGACCTCATGATCCACCTGCCTTGGACTCCCAAAGTGCTGGGATTACAGAAGAGAGCCACTGTGCCCAGTCTGAGGATATTCTTAAGTAAAATAAGGATGACTTTTTAATAAAAACGAGCACTGCAATTATCTGATCGTCCATCTGAAGTTTGTCCAACTCATGGTCCAGGACAGCTTGAAATGCAGCCCAGCATAAATTTATAAACTTTCTTAAAACATTCTGGGGTATTTTTGCAATTTTCTTTTGTTTTGTTTTAGCTCATCAGCTATCGTTAGTGTTAGTGTATTATATGTATGGCCCAAGACAATCCTTATTCCAATGTGGCCAAAGAAGCCAAAGATTGGACACCCCTGGTCCATCTGATAACCAAGAAGGTTACTAGCTGACTAATGAGTGGGTAGACATATATGGACCACGATGGTCTACTGTAAAATATTTATATCACAATTTCACTAACTTTCCACATCTTTCTTCATGTCTATGATTCCACATAAATTTATTCATATTATGCTTCCGAATTTATCCTTTATATGTGTTTTTTTATATAGCAACAAACAAAACAACTTACGTATATTTGAAAGTCAAACCATCTATTGACACCCATGGGTGATGACTGCTGTTACGAAACACACCAATCCATGAGGGAGCTGAAATGGCAGCCAGAACTTTCTGAAAGAAAATGAAGAATTTTCAATTAAATAACAATTATGAAAACATTATAAAAACAATATATTAAAGTTGAAAACTACTATGGGCAGGGCCAAAAACTTTCATGAATGTTTGTAATTTTGATTTAAATGAACTCTTCAGTAGTACTTTCATTCTTCTCATGTTAATTAAAAAACTTTAATTCTTGCAATATAATAGTTACCCCAATTGACAGAATAAACACAGTAAGGCTTTATGATTTCCCTGATACTGTGCATTTATTCCTCCAGATACTGTGACTAAATCAACCTCCTTTTGTACTATATTTCTCAGAGTCGTAGACTTAGAAGAGAATAGAGGAGTTGTCATTCAGAAATAAACGACATAGAAGCTACAGACTGGGCTTTCTGGGCACCACACCATTCTTGAACTAGATAAACCCTCACTTTCATCTGATTCGGTTTGGTGGAACATCAGTGGTCCTGACCAGGTGGTATAGAAATGTCCCTCTCTGCTACTTCCTCTCTGCTACTCCCTCCTAAAAACAACTTAAACTCTGGGATTAGCAAAAGACAAAAGCAATGGAGAACTCTGAAAGCTGGAAAGAGAAAGATGAAATTGTCTGGGACCCTAGCATTGGGGATCAACCAAGTGTCCAAGGGAGCATGTTAAGTTCTCCACCCAGAAGAAGGTGACGTAGGTCTGCTGTTTCCCAACACCTGACCTGGCAATAGGAGGAGGCTCAGCAAAGCTCACTTCTGCTGTGTATTGAAGAGTCCCCTCCACAACACCAGGTAAGGCTGATACCAATGGCAAGCATGATCTATCAGGAGATCTGCTACCAATTCAGAACCAGAGGAAGTGCTTTGTTCTCATAGCGAGAGACACCAGGGTGGGTGTGGATGAGGAGGATCAGCAAAGGGACCCCATGACTATGAGTGCACCATCCAGGGTCCTCTTTGCCCTTGAGGACATAAGACTCACTTCCCCATCCAGAGACACAAGATTGAATGGATTGTTGGTGTTCTTTGTACATAGCACAGCGGTGAACAGTAGCAAACCACAAATAACTGCAATAATATAGAGGAATTGCACAAATATCAGCATATCAGATAGGAGTAAAAAAGACAGACATGAAAATTCACACTGTATTATTCCCTTTATATAAATTCAAGAACAGGCGAACATTATTTATAACGTTAAAAATCAAGACAGTGTTTTGGAGAGGAGTCAGGATAAGTGGTGAGGGCATACACAGGGTGGAACTGCTGGAGCTGGAAACTTTTATTTCATGATCTAACTAGTATGGCATGAATTCATTCACTTTGCGATCAATCTGCATGACCAGATCATATCATGCTCAATAAAATTAAATAGCAAAATTCATTGTGGATTCAAAGCATTTATAGAAGCATGGTTTTCCACGAAAAGCAAAAACTGAAAATAAAAGTACATTCATAGTATATAAATTAAAAACAATAAGTCACTCAATTGAATATTACATAAACTTGATGATATATATGCTAAATATATGTACACACATATTAATGATTTCTGCAAATGTATTATTGACCAAAATAAGCTTTTCATAAAGCGTTTAAAACATTTACATCTTACCATTTCTTCTTCATTATCTATAGAAAGCAGCGTGGAGTTCTTTGAAGCACAGGCCAGCAAACTCTCTTCCCAAGTTCTTTTTTCCTTACCAAAGTAATAACAACTGTTGGAATACGTCATCCACTCCTCCGGACAATGGTCACAATGATGTGCTATGAAAGATATAAATTACTATGCAGAACAATATGAATTTTTAAAAATGAAAATTATTTTACATATTTTGCAGTGGAATTAACATATATGTGCTTAACATATTTATGCATCCTTACATGATTATAAATATATATATTTTAATAACCCAGTCACTCATACACACATTCACAGAAACGGGTTAGTCTCTCATCCCCTAATTGTGTTCCCATATAAAGCAAATCAACAAACAAAAATACACCCTACACAGGTCTTGAACATCATTGATACAAAACTACTTTTTGACGGTAGTAAAATTATTTATTTCTTATCATCTCACAGCAGTAGGAAACTTCTGTTAACTGGGAGAAAGACAACAGAATGATTTTAAGTGAATATTTCTACTTATTGAAGAAAAGGAAATGCTTCCTTATAGTCTTTGTTTATAAATATTTGTGGCTCAATTTAATGGCTTATTTTCTCCAGTAATGCTATTGTTATTTTACATGCCTTAAAACAGACACAAAATATAAACTGTACTAATATCAGAACGTTGAAAACCAAAATGTACCTTTCTGGGTTCTTGTATTCGGGGAAGAATTGTTCTGCCCCAGGACTGTAATCGAAAAATTAAAATGATTTTTATTAAAACTAATATCTAGATAAACCATAACAAGTTTAGTTTTTTACTTTGACACTTTGTGTGTTATTTAAAATGGGGAAAATCTTAAAATTAACTATTTTAATAAAAATAAATGAAGTAGATCTTTGAAAGAAATTTTTTTTAAAGACTTTAGCACAAAACTGCACCATCTCTTGTAGTATTTGATGTATCCACTTTCCAAAATTAATTTTTCTAAATACTTTTTTCCTATTGCATGGCTTTGAATTATGAAATCAGAAAATATATCTATCTTTGTGTGTGTATACATATATAGATTACACATGCAAAAAAAAAAAGTGTTCCCCACAATTATTTTGTTATTTGTAGTTGTGAAAAGCTCAGAATAACTATAATACTTTTGGGTCCAAATATAAACATTAAAATGAAAGTTCTGTTCCTTAATATTATAAAATATTTTGAGGCAGTTCCAAGCATTAAACAGTTCCCTTCTAATCTCTCAAAAATATGCTTACAAGGAATAAGAACCATTGTTTTTAGCACAGTGGCCACCAGGACAATGCAAATGATTCCCAGAACCTCGGCAGTCAGCCTCTCTGGAGGTAGCAGTAAACCTGCGGGGAGAGAAACAGAGGCACTGAGAGGGGAGAGAGTTTATTAGGATTACGCACGAGAACCCGCATGCACAGGGAAATAATGGTAAACTCTGCCCTCTAAATCTGTATCTATTATAGTAATCTTTCTCTCAGAAGGTACCATTTAATTTCAGGAAATATAATGCTTCATGAGTTGCTGATCACAGATTACGGTTGAACAATGCCTGAATAAAATTAGCCTTCCTATTTCATATTAGAATTTTAGATCCCAATTATGAACTCTGATTCTCACAAGTGCAAATTTTTCCCTATTTTCCCCCCACCCTTCTGTATTCAACTGCACATCCTAAAACAATAATATTGCAGATGTATTTAATGTTTTACCTTTGCAGTCATATATTTTATCAATCCCTTGATGATTCAGAGAAGCATTTTGAAGGTTTAATTCTTCTTGGAATACTTCCTGTTCGGTTCCTGAAATAGAGCTTTTATTACCCTTAGGTCTCCTTTGCTGCCTCTTTGGGTCCTGGGCCAGACTCACTTCTGAGAAGGTTTCTCTTTGTTTATTCACCTCTGCAGCTGTGTGATGTCAGGGACTGTGCTCTATGATAACTGCACTTAAGAAGATACAGATGGTGTATATTTTGACAGGATCCCTGGTATAGGCAAACTGCATGTGCTGGGGCTGAGCAGTAATGTTTATTTTGCTGTTAACCCATGTAAAATTATGTTACTAATTTCCTGAAGCTTTAAACAAAAATCTCATGATATAATTGGTAATTTTTTAGAGGTATTCTGTATTTGACTAATGGGAACAATAAAAACATTACATTTGTGAGAGCTAAGATCATGAAAAAAATTTGTATTAAAGTTAGATTCTTCAAAAACATTTCACACAAATGGAATGCATATGTTAAAAATTAAAATGCTGTATTTAAAAATACACCGATTTTATGATAGTTTTAAAATTCACTGATGGTTAAGAATTGCGTGCCATAAGATAAAATAGTTCTGTTAGCATATAGAGTAACTTCTTATACGAAAATACGTCGTGAGTGACTTACATTCATTTATCAATAGAACATGAGCTATTGTCGAGCGATTTTTTTTTCTAAATTAGGAAATCAGAAAAGTCATTAAAATTTAAAAAATACATCTTATATCTTGTAAAACTACCCTATGCATAAACTAAATACAATTGAAAACAAAATATATTTTTAATTGCTTCTTTTACACAGGAAATTGATAATTGATTAAATGACTAAAATAGGAAAGCTTAAAGTGATAAATAAAAGTGGGGGCCATCTATGGAAGGATACTGTCCAACCAAACTTTCAGAGAGTTCCTATGGGTGTATAAGTCAGTGAGGGTTGCTTTGGCTGTATAAGTCATTGTAATAGCTCAGATCATGTCATTTAATACTCTAGTCAATGAGCTCTGTAGTCAATGAAACTATAATTAACTCTAGCTTTGGAAGTTATAACGCGTGACCTTACTAAATTGCTTAGTGTCTACTGACCTAGTTTACTAATCTACGTTGGGAAAAATAATTTTTAAAATGTGATATGTAAAACACTAAACACACAACCTGGCACATATTAGCATTGAATACATAATAGATATTTTAATTATTTTTTAACACAATTTTGCCATTTTATTATTTCTGATTTGCATTAGAGTGTGTAAAATAACTCATTAGTTAGGCATCTCATGTCAGTGTAGTAAATCTTTTTTGCAATGTTTGGTTCAATTGTATTAAGTCTTCCAATTGTTTGTAATTAAGTTCAGATTTGTATTTTATGGAAACGACTTCATTCTTGCTTTTATTAAACATTAAAACTGCTTTTGTTAAATCTAGGTATGTGACTGAGGATGTATGTTTGACATTTACAATTTGATGTATCCATTTAAAAAATTTATTTTTAAAGGTTGGCCCACCTGTAATATACAATTAAACCAGTAATGATTATCATATTCAAAATTAATTGTTCATTGTCATGATGGTTATGGGTTTCACTCTGAATTGCATTGGTTGGCAAACCTATTATTATGTATGCACATACTTGAGTGATTCTCCACAGGCAATAGTGTGAATACTCTAAGAAATCCTCAAACATATTTTATATTTTGGCTCATTTTTAACCCTGAATTATTCACATAAAGAGAGTTCTACCTTGATTTTAGCCTATATAAACTTGATTTCGGGTGCATCTCATCTACTATTTACAATCTTCTACCAAAGGAGATGAGCTGGTAGAAAAACAGGAGAGTAGCAACACATACCTTCTGTCATCAGAAAGTCACACACTCTTCAGTGGAGAGGTCAGGCTACCTCTTCAAGACACAAAAGGTATCTGATTTTACTGACTGCCCTTTGAAGGCTCAGCGTGAGGCTAGAGTGGAAAAAGTAGATTCTTCACCAATGTGTCACTTCAGATTTGAACAGGAAATTCTCACACTAGGCCTGTTTTGAATCATTTTATCTCATCACACACCTCAGAATACAGGAGACTTTGGATGGCTAGTGTGTCATATAGTTTGTCCATTTTCAAGTACCCCTTAGAAATTTTTATAGTCGACAAGATGAGGAGAGAACAGAGATTTAACACATGCAGTTAATTGTTTCCATCTCAGTCACAAACACTAAAATATTGTAACTTTTTAAAATTATCTTAGATGTTTACTTTCTACATTTAGACAAGGTGCCTAAGTTGTCTTGGCATTATATACTTTATCATATACCCCTATAATATCACTGCTGTCATAATAAAAAATTTAAATAATCTTATCAATAGGAATTTAATATACTTGTCACTCTTCTGAGAAAATACTACATTTTCAACTTAATTGTAACTGACATCAATTCTCAAACTTTTTTTCTTAATTTCTTTGTCTTAGTTCTTAAAATTCCCATTCATTTTTCTTCTTCATATAAGTTAACCAGATTCCTCTGATTAAAACAAATGTCTCTTGAAAGAATAAAATGTTAAACAATACTGAACTATATCACCATGCCAGAGACTGAAATAATACAAACTACTCACTATATTGCTCACTGATTCCTTCCTCAATCATGACTTACTGTCTGCATTTTAATAGAAATATTTGTTGTAAATGATTAAAACTTAAGTTGAACTATGTAGGGAGGTAAAACAATTTTTAAAACATCACCTACTTAAAAATGGGGTGGGCAGAAAACGGAGATTTTTAAAACACAAGTGAAATGGTACGTGAGTGCCTGGGTGTGGTAGCTCCTGTCAGTAATCCCAGCACTCCAGGATCACTTGAGCTGAGGAGTTCAGGGCCAGTATGAGACACAGGATGAAACCCTGTCTCTTCAAAAAAAATCCAAAAATTAGCCGAGGATTCTTGTGTTTTCTTGCAGTCCCAGCTGCTCTGGAGGCTGAAGTGGGAGGATCGCTGGAGCCCTGGAGGTGAAGGCTGCAGTGAACTGAGATAGTGCTGCTGCACTCCAGCCTGGGCAGCAGAGCCAGACCTTGTGTTAAAAAAAAATAAGCAAAAATTTTTTTTTAAAAAAAAGGTATATATGAACATCAGGAAAAACACTATAAATTATCTGGTTGGAGTAAATAAAATACTTTCATCATTTTTTTTCTATCAAGAAAAGGGGCAATGTTTATGCATACTTCTAAAATATATCTATCCCTGTGTAAGTTTTTATAGGTTGTGTTCAGAAAACCCAAGTCTTTAGTTTTCTAAAATCTAAACAGTTGGAATTTAAATTCATATTTACATCTTTGCAATCAGAATTATTTGCCTTTCCATCAGAATGGCTAATGTTGGCTATGTATATGTGGTTTTCTGTAAAATATTTTGTAATATATTTTCATAAAATAAGTTAATAATGTTATATGCATATATGATTGTGATTACATTGTATCTATTTCTACTAAAAGTAAATTTATTTATATTTTCATATGTATTACATTTTCATAAACTAGGTTTTGGCTTAGTCACATTTTAGAATTAAAACAATACACTTATTCACTAAAGATGCCACATAATGTATTATTCACTAATGTTCTCTATTTAAGTTTGAAGAACTGATGTCTACTACTGCTACAAACATCCACTTGGAGTTTTCCATTAAATAATGTCATATACTGTGATTGTTTCATTTAAGAACAGGAATACTTGTGAGAAATGTACCTGCAGGTAGTTTCATCCTTGTGTCAACATCATTGAGTATATTTACATAAACCTAGATGGTACAGCTACTACACACCTCTGGCATATGGGATAGCCTATTGCTCCAAGGATACAAGCCTGTACAACATGTTACTGTAGTAAATGATGTAAGCAGTGAACAGAATAATTTTTGTTTACCAAATCATATCTAAACAGAAATAAACAGTAAAAATATGGTATAAAAAGTTAGAAATGCCATCCTTTTATAGGGCACTTACTATGAATGAAGTCTGCAGAAATGGGAGTTTCCCTGGGTGAGTCAGTCAGCAAGTAGCAAGTGAAAGTCAAGGCCTAGGATATTACCGCACAATCCTATAGGTTTTGTAAACGACACGGTAGGGTACACTATATTTATGAAATGCTTTTTTCTTTTGCGAATAATAAATTAACTTCACTGCCACTTTGTTGGTTTCTAAAGTTTTTATTTTTTAAAACCTTTCTGCCTCTTTTTAAATGCCATTTATTTTAAAACACAAATTGCAGTCTTAAGAACTATTTTCTTTATGTTCTTATTCTGTAAGCTTTTTTAAATTTTTCATTTACATGTTTCTTATACTTTTTAAACTTTTTTAAAACAATGAAGACACAGACACGCACATTACCCTAAGCTTACACAGTGTCAGCAAGATCAATATCACTGTCATCCCCTCCACATCTTGACCCACTGGGGCAATAACACATGTGAGCTGTCCTCTCCTATGGTAACAATGTCTTCTGGAATTTCTCCTGAAGGACCTGCCCAAAGTTGTTTTTCAGGCTACTGTTTTTGTAGAAGTAGAAGGAGTACACTCTAAAATAATAATTAAAAGTATACTACCGTAAATACATAAACCAATAACACTGTCACTTATTATCATTATCAAATACAATGTAGCGTATGTAATTGTGTGTGCTATACTTTTATTTCACTGGCAGCACGGTAATTTGTGTACCTCAGCATCACCACAGACATGGGAATAATACACTGAACTGCAACTATTGCTATGACGTCACTAAGTGATAGGAATTTTTCAGCTCCATTACAATCTAGTGGGACCACTATCTATGTGCAGCCTGCCATTGACTGAAACATCATTCTGTGGCACATGACTGTGTATCATGTTCTTTGTTAATCAAAATAATATGGGTTTCTACTGTTTGAACATTTAACTTTGATGAAGTTTATGCTTATACAAAGGCACAATAAATATATAAAAACAAAACAAAAATTACACAAAATGATTGTAGTTAGAATTTACTCTATATGATGTGTATATATATATATTTATATTTATATGATATAAATACACACACATACACACACACAGAGAACTTGTGATAGTTAATATTAGGTATCTTGATTGGATTGAAGGGCCTAGATAGCTGGTAAAGTGTTGTTTCTGGGTGTGTCTGTGAGGGTGTGGCCAGAGGAAACAGACATTTGAGTCACTGGACTGGGTGAAGATCTATCCTCAGTGTGGGTGGGCACCATCTAAAGGCTGCCAGAGCAAGTAGAACAAAGCAGGTAGAAGAAGGTGGGGTAAGCTGGCTTGATGAGTCTTTTGTATTTCATTTTTCTCCTGTGCCAGATGCTTCCTTCCATTTCTCCTGCTCTTGGGCCTCAGACTCCAGGTTCTTCAGCCTTTGGACTCTTGTACTACACCAGCGGTTTTATAGGGGCTCTTGGGCCCTTGGCCACAGACTGAAGGCTACACTTTTGGCTTCCCTGATTTTGAGGCTTTTGAGGCTTTTGACTTGGACTGAACCACTGCTGGTTCTTTCTTCCCCAGCTTGCAGATGTCCTACTGTGGGACTTTGCCTTGTCATTGTGTGAGCCACTTTTCTCTAATAAACTCCCTTTCATATATACATGTATCCTATTAGTTCTGTCCATCTGAGAAACCTGACTAACAGGAACCGAAATGTATATTACTGTGACTACTGCAAATAATGACAACATCTAGTTTCCTGTGAGTTATGGGTAAGTTGGAAGTCAATCAGAAGTGAAAATATACTTTTAATGTAACATGAACTAAAATGATTTTCAAGGAATTTTCAAAATTAGAATGAATTAGTTATTACTAACTCTAAATAAAGAAAATAAAATTTAAATATCTTCACTAGATTAAGCACATCTTCCCCATGAAAACTTGGATATTCAAAAAGAAGGCTTAAAGTAAACGAATTATGTGGATATACCTCCATGGCTATTGAATAGTGTATTAATGATGAAATTTCCAACATTAAAATAAATATTTGAAGTAGAATTCAGGGAGCAGATACAGGCTAATTGGTAAATAAAATAGAGAGCAATCTTACTTTGTTTGTACTGGTGTAATAAAATATCACAAACTAAGCAATTTATTAACCATACAGATATATTACTCACAGTTCAGGGAGCAGGGAGGTCCAAAATCAAGGTGCCAGCAGGTTTGGTGTAAATTGTATCACATTAACAAGTTTCGATGTGGAAAGTAAACTATCAAAATATTTATTATGGGCCAGGCATGGTGGCTCATGCCTGTAATCTCAGCATTTTGGGAGGCCAAGGTGGGCAAATCATGAGGTCAGGAGATTGAGACCATCCTGGCCAATATGGTGAAACCTCATCTCTACTGAAAATACAAAAATTAACCAAGTGTGGTGGCACATACCTATAATCCCAACTACTCAGGAGACTGAGAAAGAAGAATCACTTGAACCCAGAAGGCGGTGGCTGCAGTGAGCCGAGACTGCACCTTTGCACTGCAGCCTGGGTGACAGAGTAAGACTGTCTGAAAAAAATATATGTATGTGTATGTATATATATTTATTATGAAAAGATAAGGGAACAACAGATTTAAACACTTGGTAATGTTCAATCAGAATGTAATAAAAATTCAGTTATAATTAATAACTGTATTTATATATTTTTACATACAAATAAAATGCATAATTACATTTTAGAAACTGATAATCTATTAAGTATAGAGTAATTTGAATTTAAAAGCAAAGAATGTATATATTCTAAAATAACTGTTTGTTGTCTTTATGCAACATTCCTTTCATGTAAGCATAAAGAAAAATGAATAGAAAAGTAGAGCTACTATATGATCCTGCAATCCCACTGCCAGGGATATACCCAAAATAAAGAAAATCAGTGTATCTAAGAGAATTTGTACTCCCAAGTTTGTTGCAGCACTGCTCACAATAGCTAAGATCTGGAAGTTACCTAAGTGTCCACTGACAGATGAAAGGATAAAGAAAGTGTTGTCTGTATAAACAATGGAGAACTACTCAGCCATAAAAAAGAATGAAAGCCTGTCATTGGCTACAACATGAATGGAACCGGGGTCATTATGTTAAATAAAATAAGCCAGTCACGGAAAGACAATCATCACATGTTCTCACTTAGTTCTGGGATTTAAAAGTCAAAACAATTGAACTCATGGAGAGAGGGAGTAGAAGGATGGTTAGCAGAGATTGAGAAGGATAGTGGAAAGGCAGGAGTAGAGAGGTGGGGGCAGTTAATGTGTACAAAAACTAGAAAGGATGAATAAGACCTCGTGTTTGACAGCACAGCAGGGTGACTAGAGTCAATAATAACTTCATTGTACATTTAAAAATCACTAAAGACTATAATTATATATAAGGTTGTTTATAACACAAAAGATAAATGCTTAGGGAGATGAATACACCATTTTTTACATGATGTCATTATTATGCATTGAATGCCTGTCTCAAAACAGCTCATGTACCACATACACATATACACCTACTATGTGCCCACTGAAATTAAAATTAAAATATTTAAAAAAGAAAAGATGAAGAAAAAAAAATTTTTTTAAATGTACTCTCCGTAACAAACTGGTAGAACACTACTACAGGTAATGTGCTGTTTTAATATACGTCAAGCCCTTTACAGGAATTGGGGAAGCATGCTTCCTAATGTAAAGATTAATTGTCCAAATCATTAGTAATATTTTTTTTATCATTGCATGTACCTAATGATGCAAGTTCAACATATAATTGAGTGAAATAAATAAGTAAACAATCATAAATGGGATTTTAAACACTTTTCTCTCACTGCTTAACACACAAATAGGCCAGTGAGCCTATAGAAAGGTATGAACTCGACAAATAATCATCACTCATATGCACATACTCACACACATTTAATTTCATATGATATTTTGCCCAATTCACCATAATCTCATAACTCTAAGCATATTAGTATAAAATATAGGACTATGATTTCAATGTAGTACCACTTGCCAAGTTTGGCCAGTGGACTGTTAAAATATAGCTACTCTAATTCAACATTAATTAATAAAAAATAAATAACATTTAAAAACAGTTCCTCAGCACACTAGCCAGGTTTGTATACAAACATGAAGAATATTTTCAGCTTCATAGAAAATGTTCTAACTACAGTTGACCTATGACAGAAGTCAATAAAAATAATCTGACAACCTTACATGGTTTTAAATTCAGTAATACATGTGTAAATAACATAGGTGAAAGAAATGATCAAATGAATAATCACAATTTTTATATGAATTATAAAGAAAAGGAAAAAAAATCTTCCTTGTAAAAACTGATTGCCCTCAATGTACATATATTATAAAAGATGACATGAAAAATTAAATTATCTGCAAATGCACTAAAAGAAATTAAAAATAGAAAAGCTGAAGTTAAATACAAGTGATATACAAGTGAAATGAATAAACAGTAAAAAATCATGTTAAAGAATAATGTTACAATAGAGAGAACAGCAAGGCAAAAGGTATTTTTACTGAAAATACCTTTAAAATTTGATGAAAGACTACTAAAAATATATACCCAGCAATGTATCCACAAAAATAAGAAATTTAACATTTTTAAACATTGATAAGGGCTGGGCATGTATCAAAGTGATGCCTCCCAAAGTGCTGGAATTATAGGTTTGAGCTGCCACAACTAGCCTATTTCTACATTAAATATGGAAATACCATTTTGGTCTTTACAGTTATTTACACACAGTAAAACTATATCATCATTATATTTTAATGTCTATATGAAATAGAAAATTCTTAGAAAATATGCATTACCAAATGCAGTACCTCAAATAGAAATCTGAGTATATCCTACATGTATTAAAGAAATTCAGCTTAGACATAAACTTTCCTACAAAAATAGTTTACAAACTCAGATGACATTACTAGTGAATGATAACATTTGAAAATAAAGCAGTACTCTCAACAAATACTTCCAGGTTATAGGAAAAGAGAAATTCTTCCCTAGATAGCCTTGATACCAAAACCTTTCAAGTAAATAGCTATAAATAAAAACACGGTCAAATATCCTTGTGGACATGGATGAAGAAATAAATCTTACCATAAATAAAACATATATGCACTGATGTTTTATAAAGGGAAATATACAATGATCAACATGGACTTATTTCAGAAACAAAGAATAGTTTAACATTTAAAAGAAATAAAAATAGTTCATAAAATGTTATAAAAGAAAACATATATCATTCCAACTGATACAAAAATAATAAAAATGTTACAACAATTGATAAAATCTATTAGAAAATAGGAACATTATAAAACTACTTCACTATGAGAAAAACACCAAACTTTATAAATATGAATAATATGTTGAAGTATTTTTTGCCAAAACACAAAAAAATGATACATATGATATACACAGAGCTTTGACTGTACCTTCTATTCAACTATGGATATAAAACCCTGGCCAGTAAAAATAATTTAACATTAAAATAAGTTAGGGCACATGGATAAAAAAATAAAAGTGTGATGACTTGCAGATAAAATTGCTGTTTATATAGAACACCCAGAAAAAATCATACTTGACATGCTAGATTTAAATACATAAAATCAGTGGAAAAAGTAGTTACAAAATTAAGATGAAGACTTCAATTTTATTTCTATTTACAACAAAAATTACTAAAGAAAATGTTAAAATCAGGATGCTATTTATAAAAGCATGAATGTAAAATACCTACATTTCTTTATGACTTCAATCCCCCAAAATATGATAGAGAGAAATTAAAGATAACACAGTACACTGAAGGAAACACTTTATATTGATTAGAAAAGTCAACATGATAAGGAAGCTAATCTTTAAAAATTACTTTAGAGAATAAATGCAGTCACAAACGTTCTTATCAGAGGTTTTTTCTTTTTTTTTTTTTCCTGGACAAATTTATTGAAGTGTCATGTACATAGCATAAATTTCATCCACTTATAATGATTAAAAATCAGTGATTTTTAGTACATTCACAAAGTTACCACCATCACCACTACTGAAATTTAGAAAGTTTTCATCACGACACAAAGAAACGTTCTAGCAATTAGTGGCCACCTCCTATTTCAATCTCCTTTAGGCATTGGCAACCACTACTCTTTCTGTCGCATGCGTTTGCCTGTTCTTGATAGTTCATATAAACTGATTCACATAATATGCACCTTTAAGAAAGGCTGAATGCCACAAACATCATGTTGAGCAAAATGAGCCCAACACAAATGCGGGGATATCTGTACGTTAGTAATTGTGCACATCCTATTTCAATAATTGATTCCGAATTTTCTTATTATGGGAGCAAATAGCATAATTCATTTTAAAATTTATGCAATCATAATATTATTTCTATTTTAAGAAACATAAAATTTGTCTGATGTACTGCCAACTCAAATGCTTTAATTCCTAAGCTTACGCTTACAATGATGTAGTATTAAAGATCCACATGGCTCTGATTTAAATCCATCTACATGCAGCATTGCACAGTTACGTTCCTCATTCTTTGAGTCTTTTATCCTGTAATGGAGAAAAATCCATAATTCTATTACATTTTATGCAAATGATTCATGAGACAAGAGCATTTTCCATGTACTGTAAGAAAGGAATTTTATGGAAAAGGGTAATAAACTTTTTCATATAATATTAGCAAATGTTATTATTCTAAAAACGCAGTACAGTAGTCTCCCTTCATCCACGGGGGATATGTTTCAAGATGCCATTGAATGCCTGAAACAGCTGATAGTGCAGAACCTATAGAGAGATTATGTTTTCTCTCCACGTTCATAACTATGATGAAGTTTAATTGATAAATTAGGCACAATAAGAGATGTACAAAAATCATACTGATAAAAAACAATTATAGCAGTATGCAAACAGCACTACTCTTGTGCTTTGAGGATATTCTTAAGTAAAATAAGGGTTTCTTTTTAATAAAACAAGCACCACAATTTCCTGATCATCCATCTCAAGGTTGTCCAACTTGCGGCCCATGAGCCACAGGTGGCCCAGGACAGTTTTGAATGTGGCCCAGGACAAATTCATAAACGTTCTTAAAATGTTCTGAGATATTTTTGCAATTTATTTTTAGTTTATCAGCTATCATTAGTGTTTGTTAGTATATTTTATGTGTGGCCCAACACAGTTCTTCCAATGTGGCCCACAGAAGCCAAAGATTGGACACCCCTGGTCCATCTGATAACCAAGAAGGTTACTAGCTGACTAATGAGTGGGTAGACATATATGGACCACGATGGTCTACTGTAAAATATTTATATCACAATTTCACTAACTTTCCACATCTTTCTTCATGTCTATGATTGCATATAAATTTATTCATATTATTCTTCTGAATTTATCCTTTATATGTGTTTTTTTATATAGCAACATACAAAACAACTTACATATATTTGAAAGTCAAACCGTCTATTGACACCCATGGACGATGACTGCTGTTACGAAACACACCAATCCATGAGGAATGTAAAATGGCAGCCAGAACTTTCTGAAAGAAAATAGAGAATTTTCACTTAAATAACAATTATGAAAACATTATAAAAACAATATATTAAAGTTGAAACCCACTGTTCGCAAGGCCAAAAACTTTCATAAATGTTTGTAATTTTGATTTAAATGAACTCTTCAGTAGTACTTTCATTCTTCTCATGTTAATTAAAAATTTTTAATTCTTGCAATATAATAGTTACCCCAATTGACAGAATAAACACAGTAAGGCTTTATGATTTTCCTGATACTGTGCATTTATTCCTCCAGATACTGTGACTAAATCAACCTCCTTTTGTACTGTATTTCTCAGAGTTGTAGACTTAGAAGAGAATAGAGGAGTTGTCATTCAGAAATAAACGACATAGAAGCTACAGACTGGGTTGTCTGGGCACCACACCATTCTTTAACTAGATAAACCCTCACTTTCATCTGATTCGGTTTGGTGGAACATCAGTGGTCCTGACCAGGTGGTATAGAAATGTCCCTCTCTGCTACTTCCTCTCTGCTACTCCCTCCTAAAAACAACTTAAACTCTGGGATTAGCAAAAGACAAAAGCAATGGAGAACTCTGAAAGCTGGAAAGAGAAAGATGAAATTGTCTGGGACCCTAGCATTGGGGATCAACCAAGTGTCCAAGGGAGCATGTTAAGTTCTCCACCCAGAAGAAGGTGACGTAGGTCTGCTGTTTCCCAGCACCTGACCTGGCAATAGGAGGAGGCTCAGCAAAGCTCACTTCTGCTGTGTATTGAAGAGTCCCCTCCACAACACCAGGTAAGGCTGGTATCAATGGCAAGGATGATCTACCAGGAGATCTGCTACCAATTAGGAGCCAGAGGAAGTGCTTCCTTCACATACCAATAGACACCAGGGTGGGTGTGGGTGAGGAGGATCAGCAAAGGGACCCCATGACTATCAGCGCACCATCCAGGGTCCTCTTTGCCCTTGAGGACATGAGACTCACTTCCCCATCCAGAGACACAGGACTGAATGGATTGTTCATGTTCTTTGTATACAGTATAGCAGTGAACAGTAACAAACTACTGATAACTGCAATAATATGAAGGTATTGCACAAATATCAGATAGGAGTGAAAAAGACAGATATGAAAATTCATATTGTATGATTCCCTTTATATAAATTCAAAAACAGGCCAACATTATTTATAACATTAAAAGTCAAGACAGTGTTTTGGAGAGGAGTCAGGATAAGTGATGAGGGCACACAGGGTGGAACTGCTGGAGCTGGAACTTCTGTTTTGTGATCTGACTTGTATCTCATGAGTTCATTCACTTTGTGATCAATCTGCATGACCAGATCATATCTTGCTTGATAAACTTAGATAGCAAAATTTACTGTGGGTTCAAAGCATTTACAGAAGCATGATTTTCCATGAAAAGCAAAAACTGAAAATTATCAAAAGTCCATTAGCAGTATATGAATTTTAATACATTATTAAGTCAAACTATTGAATATTACACAGACTTAAAAATATACAAGTTAAATATATATATATACACATATATGATTTCTACAAATATATTACAAATATATTATTGACTGAAATAAGCTTTTCATAAAGTGTTTAAAACATTTACATCTTACCATTTCTTCTTCATTATCTATAGAAAGCAGAGTGGAGTTTTTCGAAGCACAGGCCAGCAAACTCTCTTCCCACGTTCTTTTTTCCTTACCAAGGTAATAACAACTGTTGGAATACATAAACCACTCCTCTGGACAATGGCCACAATGATATGCTAAATAAAGAGCAGGAATTACTATCCAGAACAACATGAATTTTTAAAAATAAAAATTATTTAACATATTTGCAAAGGCATAAAGCTACATGTATGCCACATATCTATCCATCCTCACAGGCTGGTAAATATGTGCTTTAAAAATACCCAGTCGCTTACACACACATGCACAGTAAAGGGTCAGCCTCTCATCTCCTAATTGTGTTCCCATATAAAGTAAACCAGCAAACAAAAATCCACTCTACATATGTCTTGAAAATCAGTGAACAAACCAAGCTGCTTTAAAAAAAAATAAATAACTTGTATCTCAACATATTATAGCAATAAGATTTTGAACACAACAAACAAAAGAAAGTATAGTGATTTTACTAATAGTTAATGACAAGGTAATGACCTCATCTTTATTTATGAACATTTATTGCCAATTTTTATAACTTAATCACCCCAAATTCCATTTTTACACAGCCTAAGATCAAGAAGAAAACTGTAATATTAGAACTTTAAAAATTATTATATACCTTTCTGAGTTCTTGTATTCAGGGAAGAATTGTTGTGCCTCTGTGTTAATGTAGCTAGAAAAAATAATCTTTGTAAAAACTTAGCATCTAAATCAATCATAAAAATTTTAGTTTTTGTTTGAAATTTGTTATATTATTTAGAGTTAGAATAATGTAGAATAAAATTGATTTTAAGAAAAAATTAATGATAAATTAATAAATTAATGATGGGTTTTTTACAAAAGTATTTCATAGATCTAAAGAACCAAATTTCACCATCTCATATAGTTCTTATAGTTTGTGATTTAACTACTTTCAGAAATTAATTTCTATTTCTCAGTAAGATTTTTCAGACCCCTAGAACATATTTTTGAGTTATGAAATCAAATATATACACATAACTGAATCAGAAGCAAATACTTTCGACAATTATTCTTTCATTTATTCTTTGACAAATTCAGAATAACCATTCCACATTTAGTCCAAATATATACATTACAATGAGAATAGTATTCTCTGAAAATATGAAATGTTTAGGGGCATATTCAATCATTAATGTGAAAATTTTCCTTGAAATCTTCTAAAATAGACTTACAGGGAATAACAACTATCGTTATCACAGAGGCCATTAAGAGAAGACAGATGATTCCCAGGATCCCAATAACGAGCTTCTCTGGAGCTGATGGTAAATCTGCAGGGAGAGAAATAAGAACCGTGCAAAAGAAGAGGTGGATACAGTTGTTTAGAAGATTCCCAGACAAGAGAACCTGAATGCACAAGGATCATACAGAGAAGCTTGGGCCCCAAACCCTCATGTCATATTGTAATCTTTCTTTCAGAAAAATATACTATTGCATTTCAGCAAAAATAATGCTCCATGAATTATTGGACAAAGACTACAAATTTCAAAAATGAGTTAAATCAGTCTTCATATTTTATATTGAAATCATATATCTCCACTTGGAATTCTGATCTTTGCAAACAGAAAGTATGTAAGCACTCCCTGCTCTTTCCCCACATATCCCTGTACCCCAAGCTGCACATCCTAGACTGTTATATTGAGGAGCTTTTCAATGCTTTACCTTTGCAGTGATAGGTTTTGTCATTCCCTTGAAAATCCTGAGAAGCTGTTTGAAGGTTTAATTCTGCATAGGTTATTTCCTGTTCAGTTACTAAAATGGAGCTTTCATTGCTCTTAGGTGTTCGTTGCTGCCTCTTTGGGTTTGGGGGCAGATTTAGGTCGGAGTAGATCACTCCTTGGTTATCCATCTTTGCAGTGTGTGATGTCAGGGACTGTGCTCTATAATAACAATAGGTAAGAAGTTAATAAATGTTTTATATACAAGATCTCTAGTGCAGTTAAAAGGGTGAGGTGGAGAACAAGTATTGGAGCTCATTTTGCATTAAAGAATCTAAAGTTCTTTCTCTAATTTTCTTCCAGCTTAAACAAGCTTCTTATGGGAAATAGTGTTTTTTTTTTTTTTTTTTAAGATTTTCTAGGGCCAAGCTCGTAGTGGGTCATGCCTGTAATCTCAGCACGTTGAGAGGCCAAGGTGGGCTGATCACGAGGTCAGGAGTTCAAGACCAGCCTGGCCAATAGGTTGAAACCCCATCTCTACTAAAAATACAAAAATTAGCTGGGTGTACTGACACGCACTTGTAGTTCCAGCTACTAGGGAAGCTGAGACTGAAGAATTGCTTGAACCCTGGCGATGGAGGTTGCAGTGAGCTGAGATCGCGCCATTGCACGCCAGCCTGGGTGACAGAGTGGAACTCCATCTCAAAAAAAAAAAAAGATTTTCTACATTTGACAAAATATTATTGCTGGGGCAATGAGAAGCAATAAATTAGTAGGGAATAAAGAAGTTCAGGAATGAAAATATATTTCTTAGTTAATGTCTGATGCTGCAGGCATATTTTAACATAATACCAAATACTACTTGTATTAAAAATTAAAATGTTGTATTACAGATACTTCTGCACTCATTTTTTATTTTAATTTTGAAATCCAGTAATGTTTAAGACTATGTGATCTGCACATGACTAATAGTAAGGGTGACACACACACACACACACATATATATATATATATATATAAATTTCTTGCAATAAATTAGTTTTATTTAGTAATTTACACATATTTATTAAAATTGATGGGGTATTAAATGGTTTTTTCTTAATGGCTGAAACATTTTAAGAAATTATTAAAAATTTAAATATTTGTATATATCGGAAAATGTGATGTGACACAGTTAACTTATGCATAACCTAAACAGTATTACAAATGCTACAAAAACTGTTAATATTTATTTTATAGAAGTGTTGGTAATTTATTTCCTGGCTAAATTGTAAACCATAAAATGATAAATGAAAGTGTAGGTAATTTATGTTAAAGTATATTTCATTTAAACTTATAGAAACATTTTATGGTTGCCAAAGTGAGTAAAGGCCACTTTATTTGTACAAGCACTTGTAAAATTTCAGATAATGTAATTAAATCATTTAGTCAATGGGCTCTGGAGTCAGTGAGATCTAGAATTAATTCTGGCTTTGACACTTATAATGTGTGACCTTTAAAAAGTTATTCTATGTTTAATAACCCAGATTGTTAATCTAAAACGGGAATAAGAACATATAAAACGTTGCATGTAAAACATTTACCACTCAACCTGGCACTTAAAGTTCTCAATAAGCATTAGCTTTTTAATTATCATATACTGTAGTAACAATTGTTATGTTACTGTCTCTGATTTATGTCAGTTAAAGCATGGAAAATAAATCTTCAGATAAGTCTCCTATATCCGTGTGCTACATCTTTCTTTGCAATATTTTGACCAATTTTGAAAAAGTATTTTGATTTTTGTATTACCTTTAGCATTTTAGGTAATCTACCTTATTCTGATTTTTATTAAAAATAAAAACTGCTTTTATTTATTTAATCTATGTGTCTGAGAAATTGTATTTGGCTTTCATCAATGGATTAATTTATTTTAATAATCTATAATGGCTAAACTAAATATAAATTATGATTATTCAAAGATACATGATGTACTGATTATAAAAAATAAAATTAATTGTTCATTATTGTGATGTTAATAGGTTTCATTTAAATTATATTGATTAACAAACCTACTAGTTTTCCACAAACAATAATTTGAAAACTTTAAGAAATCCTCCAACATATTTTATTTTTTAGGTTTTTACCCTTAGTTATTCAAATGAAGACAGCAATGTTCTACTTTGATTTTACTGTATATTAATTAAACCTCTGTTGCATCATATTGAGCACTTGTACACCCACTACATGAGGCAGGCTAGTAGAGCGTTCAAGAGTAGCAACACATACCTTCTGTCCCCAGAAAGTCACACATCCTTTAGTGGAGAGGCCAGGTTAGTCTCATAAAAAGGCCTGCTATAGTTGAGTAATAAAAGGTGAAATTTAAAGGCGTAAATCCAGGACAAGAACAAACAATGTCTGTGATCTTCGCAGACTGCCCTGTGAAGACTCAGAGTGAGTCAAGAGTGGAAATAGTAGATTTCTTATCAACGTGTTACTAAGGTTTGAACAGGAAATTCTACACATGGGCTATTTGAAATCAGTTTATTTCATCACATACCTCCAAAATATAGGATAATGTGGTCTATTAAAAGTACAAGGTCGACTTTGAAAGTGTGTCATTTAGCTGTTCCATTTTTCAAGTGCCTCTGAGCATTTTTTTTCTGTCTTGATCACAAACATTGCCAATGCTCACCTTGTTAAGAGTATCTTTTAAACTAGGTTGCTAAATCTTAACATTGCATACTTCCTTTGTTTATATTATTTTATTATGTCACTTCCATTATAATGGGAAAACATTTTAAAACTCATAGTAACATTATGAGCTGATATCTACTGATTTTTTTTCACTAATTATTGGAGAAATTACTGCAGTAATTACTCAACTGATTGTAGTTGGCAGAAAAATCATCATTGCCAAAGTTAACTTCTCGTAGTTCTTAAATTCTTGTGTTTAATTTTATTTTTTTAAGCAGGTTATTTAATATTCAGATTACTCTTGATAAAAATAAATGTATCTTAGAAAGATAAAACATTAATCAATTTTGAAATATGTCATCATGCCAGAGATTGAAATATTGAGCAGCTATTCATTACATTATTCATTTATTCATCCTCTGCCATAACAAATTATCTCAACTTTAATAGAAATATTTAGTTGTAATTGATAAAAACTAACTATGTATGGGGAAAAAGTAAGTTTAAAATCTTATTAGGAAGAAAGTCAGCAAATTGGCAGAATAGGTGGTCCCCCACACATACACCCCACAGCAACAATAATTTTCCAGCCATCCACAGACAAAAGTTCCTTTGAGGGAGTTTTGGAATTCAAATAGGAGTTTGTAAAATGCCAGTGGAACACAAGACGTAGGAGGACGGTTGTTTTAGAGAATAGATTTGCACCCAAGTGGCAGCTTGCCAATGGTGATTCCATCTCCAGACCTGAAAAGGGACCCATCCTCCTGTGGACTTGCCTTTAGCCCCATTAGGCCTTGGTCATGCTGCCAAAACCATTTTCCCAGGGGTCCAGGAGGAGACCCACACACTAGTGTCTCAGGAGGTAGGTGTACCAACTGTAGTCTCAGTGTGGATCCTGAAACAACCCTCTAACTTGGCTTTAGCTAGCGTCAGCCACTTGAGATCAGTCCTTCACCCACAGAGACTTCCTGGGAGATATATACATCTGTTCCCCTGGGGCATGCTTGCTGACTTCTGCCTCATAGAAGATACTAAAATGGCCCTGAATCTCCACTCAAACCCCTCTCAACTGTGGCCTGAGTTAATCACAGGAAATTGCTGTGTGACTCACTCATCTTTGTCAGCAGTATAGGTTTGCTGACTTTAGTTCCATAGTAGTTTCTGAAACAGCCTTGAATCTTGACCCTCACCCTTCTCAGCTGTGGACTGTGACCAGTTTTGCCAATTCAGGGATACAGAGGGAGGGCATGCACATCCATGTTCCCACTAGGAGACTATTGTCCTAGGTTTCACAGCAGATCCTGAAATGGGCCAGAAAAAGAGCTTCAACCCTTCTCAGCTGTGCTAGAAAGCAGTTTGCCCACACAGGGACCTGGTGAGAGACATCATCAGTGCACCTACAGGCACTGACCTTAGTCTTATTTCAGATCTTGAAACAGTCCTGTTAGCCAGCTCCAGCCCACCTCAATTACAGTCTGAAGCAAGTCTGCCTGCCCAGAGACCTGCCAGAAAACACACTCATCCATGACCCCAGAGACAGACATGAAGACATTTCTTTCAGCTAAAGACCCTGAGGAAACCTTGTGACTTAGTACTAACTCCTCTCAGCCACAGGCTGAAGAACCCACCCAGAGACCCATGAGCAGCCTTCCCAGGAAACTAAACTCTCCCTGAACTACACGCCTAATAATAGACCCACTATCTACAGAACCTGAAGTGAACCCTCATCCCCTCCCCACCTGTATACGGTATGATTCTAGAGCCAGTTTTGTCCTCTGAAGGACTAAATAAGATACAAGCCTGCTGGAAGCCCTAGTAACAGGATCATGAACCAAAAATCCCCCTCAGGACCCAGAAGCAACCATATGACCTGGCTATAACCCCGTTCAACCATGATACTGAAGGCAACCTCATCGGACCAGGATCCTAGCAGAAGAAGGTCTTAACCTACCAAAAACAGCCTGTAAAGACTGAAAGAGATATCTGCTCTTTATTTTTATTATTTTTATTTTTTGCGACGGGGTCTTGCTTTGTTGCCCAGGCTGGATTGTAGTAGCATGATCTCGGCTCACTGCGACCTCTGCCTCCCAGGTTGAAGCAATTCTCCTGCCTCAGCCTCCCAAGTACCTGGGACAGGCACACACCACCAAGCCCAGCTAATTTTTTGTATTTTTAGTAGAGATGAAGTTTCACCATGTTAGCCAGGATGGTCTCGACCTCCTGGCCTCGTGATCCACCTGCCTTGGCCTCCCAAAGTGCTCATGCCCGGCTGAGATATCTGCTCTTTAAAATGCACAGGCACCAGTGCAAGGATAAACAAATAAAAAGGTATCAGACAAATACAATACCACCAAAGGAAACTAATAAAACTTTAGCAACTGATCCTAATAAATGGAGATCTATAAGTTTCCTTTATGATAATTCAAAACAATCATCTTAGAAAATCTCAGTGAGATGCAGAAGAGTACTAAAAAATCTAAAACAAAAATACATGAACAAAATAAGAATTTAATTAAGAAACATAAACCATTAAAAACAGCCAAACAAAAATTCTGGAGCTGAAGAATACAATGAAAGAAAGAAAGAAGTCAATAGAGAGTTTCAATGCCAGACTTGATCATGCAGAAGAATTAGTGAATTCAAAAGAGTGTCATTTAAAATTAACAAATTAGAGTAAAAAAAGAAAAAAAGGGAACAAAAAGTGGCAAAGAAAGCTTAAGAGATCTTCGAGATGCCACCAAGAATATGTTGTAGAAAGTATAGAAACTTCAGACAGAGAAGAGAGAGATAAAAGGCCAAAAATATTTTTTATTTAAAGAAATACTGTCTGAAAACCTTCTTAACTTGGGGAGGATATGTAAATCCAGATTCATGAAGCTTAATGAATCATAAGCAAAATCAGTCCAGAAAAAACTATTATGAGGCATAACATAATCAAATTGTCAAAAGTCTAAGACAAGAGAATCTTCTGGGGAGTTTTGTTTATTTTTTAGCTTAATGTGATCACATTGTTTATTTTTGCTTTAGTTTCCTGTGCTTGTGGGATAAGACTCAACAAATAGCCCAGGCACAGTGGCTCACGCCTGTAATTCTAGCCCTTTGGAGGCTGAGGCGGTTGGATCACAAGGTCAGGAGATCGAGATCATCCTAGCCAACATGGTGAAATCCCACCTCTACTAAAGACACAAAAATTAGCTGGATGTGGTAGCATATGCCTGGAGTCCTAGCCATTCGAGAGGCTGAGGCAGGAGAATCGCTTGAACCCAGAAAACAAAGGTTGCAGTGAGCTGAGATCATGGTACTCTATTCCAGCCTGGTGACAGAGTAAGACTCCATCTCAAAAAAAAAAAAAAAAAAAAGAATCTTGCTAAAATTT